TTTTTTACTTGCTTGTGATCTTCAGTTGCTTCTTCCACCTGTAGGGCCAGTCTTCTTCAGAACAATTGAGCTGTCTCAGCCAAATCCGTCAAGAAGCTCAAAAGAAAGATACTGTGTTGGAGTCCTGCTCTGAGTCACTGGGGGGATGGGGGTAGGCACCACAAACACTTCTTTTTCCTTATTTTTCTTTTAAAGGGTTGGTAGATCATGATCAAAAAATAATCGTCACCATCTAAAAATGCTTTATAAGTGAACGAGCATTGTTTGGCTTTTTGTTTTTCCTCTCTTTAGCCTGAGGAAGTCAGAGGGGGCCACCGTGGAGCGCTATAACTTGATGTCACCCTTCTTCATCACCTTGGACAAGCAGAGAAAGTAAATACTTTTGTGAATCCACCCAGGACAGTCCCTTCAGGCCAGATCAGTAGTTGACAGCTGAGTTTACAGTAGTCAGCAAGCAAAAATATAGAAAAACTTAATACGTCAATTTGGGTTTTATTGTACTGAAAGGATTTTCACTTTTAAAGATAATCTCTAGTTTTGGCTTATAAGGCCCAAGAAGATAAACTAGACAGACACCCCCCGTGCATTAAAAAAATTTCCTCCAATTAACGCAATAACCATAAAGTGGCTTTCATGATATCCATTTTCAGATTTTGGTATTGAGCCCAATTCAAAATTTGAGAACAGTTTTCCTATTTTTATGGCCAATACATTGAGTGCATATATTTCTCACTGTTTAAATCAGAGGGAAAGTTTCATCTAGGATTATTTATTTTCACTCTTTCATTTTAATTCATGTGCCTCTGGAGAATGTATCTTTTGTATGATTCTATTTCCAAAAACCAAAGGAAAACAGAAGATGAGATGTGATTGGTTAGTTCCTTTAGAAGGTTGTTTGGAGTGGCCTCTCCTGAGAACTTTTTTTTTGTAAGTCATATTTCAAGTCTTTGATCTTGACAGCCCTGAAATACTACCTTAAAATTACATCATAACTATAAAATGACTTTTGTTGGGTAGTGGAATGACTTTTCAAAAAGCTTCCACTAAATATACAAATATTATAGTGAAAGGATGTCAGAGTATTCCAAATGATTAGTGATGGTATTAAAATTGCCAGTATTGCTATATATTGTACCCCTAAGAAATTCAGAATATTTATGGGAAGGCCTTCATCAAAGTAGTCTGGCTGGTTTTTTTTTTTTTTTTTCCTTTTTAAAGTAATTGGTAATTTCTTCTTTTAGACTCTTTCACATGCTTTGCTATAACTAAAAGCCATTTAAACTATTGATTTTTTCCAGTGAGGAAAAATAGCTTATATGCATACAAGTCAGTAGACCAATTGAACCAAATAATATCTAATATCATCTTAAACATTTGTTAATTCAATAAATATTTATGGTAGATTCATAATATATGATACAAATTCAACTCTGTGCACATGGCACAAAGAAAAAAGAAAAAGAACACTTTCAATAGTGTGTACCTTCCACCCCCCACTCACTCAAGGACAGACCCCAGAGCCAGCGAGGCGAGGGGCATGGATCTGCTGTCCACTCTGCTCGTTTTACTTTTCTTGTACCTCTCAAGGGTGAGGCTGAATGTAAGGCTAGAGTTTGAAAGATAAGATAAGGGTTTGGGGTATATCAGGGCCTCCAAATAAAAGCCAGCTGATTCATCTGGCTCCCAACCAAAAACAGACAAAACAAAAAAGTCTGATCCATTATCAGAGACAAATCTGCCTGTGTTGGACCTAGTGAGAGCTGTCCCTATATTGTAGTTCATAAGCCATTGAAGAGATTTTTCAAGGATAATCTTGACTCCAAGGTTTATTTGCCCTACCCCTTGTGGTAGATGCTTAATACAATGCAGTCAAGTAAGATGCACCTGCTGTATACAAAGCTTTGTGCTGAAATTATAGGGGGAAATTCGTGGATCACCTAGTGGGCATTTCAGGGGCATGACAACAAGATTATTCATACATGCATATGTATACATACACACATATAACTTGAGAATGAGTCACATTTTTGTCGAGTGGGCCAATCTTGACAAGTCTTTTCCTAAGCTAATAGTTTGTTTAACTAATCTTTACTTTCCTTATTAGGAACTGTGAGCACATCAAATGATATAAATTTAAAAGATGAGATAAGACATATTTGTTTTTACATTTCTGTTTTTAGAATTAACTATTGATGGCGTTGGCAATTTTGTTGTTGGTGGTGGTGATGGTGGTTTTTTAGAACAAGCTAGTGATTTAAAAACAGAAGTGTAGACACAGAGAATTTATTTATGTGCTGGTCATGAGCTCCATTAGCCAATGGAAGGCTTTCATGGGTAACATGTATGATATGTATACATTGTATACTCAGGTGCCATAACATCAGCCATTAGCTGATACACACACGCTGGATTCAGTGAATCACCCCTGTCCCCAGTCTCAGTTGCATCAAATCTGAAATGCATCATGCTAAGAATTTCCCCCTAATTTTTTTAAAAAAGAATATTTTCAAGAAAAACTAATCCACCTGTTTCTAATTCAGTTACAGCTTATTCCCTTAAGACATGACCTTGCCTGAGCTGGCTCTATCCAAAAAATCTTTTTACTCTACTATTTTGAGGCTTCTTTGCAAACAGGTGGTCCTTCAAACAGCTGGGGGCCTCCCCGGCCCTCAACTCATGTTTGATTCAAGCTCAGAATGAGCCTTGTTTAATCAACTGGACTCCCCAAGAGGTTGGAAAACGTACCACCCCATGATCAGGAGGAGAGAGCCGTGAAGTAAGCACTGAATTTTCTCACAACTCAAACCTAATCCTTCCCTCTCTTCTTATAGGATCAAATGAAAATTGCAAAGGTTACATGCAATACCTCACTCAAGCTGACCTTTTCAGTTCAAGAGAAACAAAAGTGATCAGATAGGGAGTGTGACTTTTGGACAGAGGGCCATCCCATCTGGGGACAGCATCATTGTAGGGATTATGTCAACAGAACTTGGTAGCTTTATTTTAGAACAAGAAATGATGGCAGGAAAAGCAATAGACATCCTCATTAAAGCTCATTTACTGGAGAGGCTCAAAATCCTCCTTTCCTCTTTGGTATCACCCAAGTTACTCATGCCAATTTGTGAAGCTGTACATCATTATTTTAATTGTCTGCAGCCCTTGGGTGAGTTTTAATGATCTCACTGGGCTGGATACAAGCAGGGTTCCGGACACTACAGTTAAGAGTTTTCACAGAGATATGTGGTGGCCACCAACTCAGGGGGGACTACAGGAACATGGTCATTGACAAGCTTTGGGACAAGATTTGGGTCTGTGTGGTTTTTCCCTTCTCTCCTAACATAGCAGCTGATTGTCTGGTGACGTAACAAAGATAAACTGGAACTAGGCTCTGGCAAGGGTTTTGATTTGCTCAACAAAACCCTGCCCATTTCCCTGCTTTCCACACAGCTCTCTCTTCTGCAGGTTCCTCCCTGCTAAAAACCTTCCCTTTGCTCCAACCCTCCCCACAACTTCCCTAGAGGAAAAAGCCCTAAACAAAAGCTCCCACTGCGCAGAGTGTTAATTATGAGGCGAGGGAGTGTCAGTGGGTCAGCTTCAGAGAAAGAAAGATCCGGGCAGAGAGAAAGGGAGATCGGCCTGTGCTGGAATCCGCTGCACACACGCCCCTTCTACTACTGTTCATCTGTCCTTCATACCTCTTCCCCTGCTGAGCCTCAGGCCTGTGTCTCTAACCCGCTCCAGAGCACCCAGCTGGAGAGTAGACGAACCACCGGTCTGGCTGTCAATCCCACCCACAGCCCTGGGTGTGTCCCGCCTGAACTCTAGCAAAGCCGCTTGATGAATGGAAACTTTAAACATTCTTTGGATGCTCCTGGTATTTGAATCACCGTCTAAACGGGTGTGACATTAAAAAGTTTGGAAACTTTTTAAGAGAAAGGGCAAAAGGGGAGGGAAAAGAGGGGAACTGTCCAAAAAGTAGGTGGTCCTGCGTTAGCTCAGAGCAGACCCGCACAGCAAGCCACGCGCTGGGCTCTGGAGGGCAGACGTGGTGTCAGCTGCCTTTGGACAGCCTCATCCGAGACCATGCCTGCTAATATTGCTGCCACGCTTCTCTTTGGACTTTTCTTGTCAAATCCTTCAACATCGCTCTAGATTCGTGTGGTTCTAATCTCTGCGGCTACATGGAGAAAAATGAAGTCCGGCTGAAGCAGAAGGAAAATTATTTTCTTGTAGTTTTGCTTTTAAGCGAGTATTGGAAAACAAGGAAGTTGAGGAGGTCAGCTGGGCTCCCTGGAGAATCTCTTGGCTTATAAGGGAGGTGTAGGTAAGGGTGGCCCACCAGGAAGGTCTCCAAAGCAAAGGGCAAGATCTTGAGTGCCCACTGGAGTGGCCAGGGAAACTGACATGGAGGAAGTCAGCCCAAATGGACTTTAGTAATAAACTCCTCAGATTCACTGTCGCACACAAGGGCAGGGGATTGACGTGACACGGCAATGGATGTGGAAAATGGTGAGGGCCGAGGGGGAAAGTGAAGGAACCACAGTTATGTAGATACCAGGAGACAATGAAGGAGCAAGTGTAGAGGGGCTGGTTGATGCTGAGATTCAGAAAAAACAAAATCTTTCTTTAAACAAATGAACACCATATTCCTGCCACGGAGATGAGAAAAGTGGTGATGAACCAGCCCAGAATAACGTCCAAGGGCGCCAATCTTTTTGGAGACACGGCCGTCTGTGAGGCCTCTGATTTCCCCACATCCCCCCTGCTGCTCCTTGCAGCACACGGTGATGCTGACTTAGGAAGCCTAAGTGAACCGAGACGAATTTAGTTTTGAGGATTTCTCAACAGGCTGCAGATAACTGGAGACACTTTAAGCTGTTGTGAAACTGAAGCTGGAAGTCACTGCCATCCCACAAATCTAGAGCTGGAGGGGCAGACTGATGGCCTCAGGGGAGAAGGTAATAACACAAACCCCCTTTTCAGGTAAGGGCAAATAACAATGAAAAGAAGAAGCAATTTTATTTGGTCAGTGATTTCACGGCCTCTGAGATGCACGCCCCGGGATCCAGCCGCGAAGCCCCGGCCGTGGAGCCGTGGCCTGCCTGAGCCTCGGCCGTGGGACCAGGGGTGCTGCTGAAGGCCTGGCCGGGAGCCTCCAGAGGTGAGTCCAGGGCGTTGGTGAGTTTCTCTAAACAAAGAGCACACACATGCACAAGTCCTCGATTGACGACTAATTTCTATAAACATTTCCTGCTGAGCAAAGTTCGAGGCACAGGCCAGTTTTTTCCCATTGAAAAGGAGAGAGATGAATCAAGATGATGGCTCTCACTGGTTTCTTTGTGAGGTCATGTTTTTCATGATTTGCCAGAAGTAATAACGTACACACTGAGAGGGAGAAGCCGTCTAAGGTGAACGCCCTGAGCTCACAGCTCAATCTCCTGTTAGCAAAGACTCTGAAACTCTTCTGCTCTGAGTTAAGTCCTTCTGTGCCCCTAGACTAGGCTTTTCGGACAGATGCCAGGATGTTTGCAATCCTCTTTGGCTTCAGAGTCTGCATCCGAAGCAGCCATAGACAGGCTCGGCTTCATCCGTGGAAGCTGTAACGCAGGCTCCTTATTGAGCATCTGTCTTCTGCAGGCCCAGTGCCACGTGAGGCCTTGGGGGGAAACAGAGGACCAGGAGCCAGGTCCTGCCCTTGAGAAGTTCGTGGCGTAGTGGGGGAGCCAGGCACCAGCCTCCTCACACGATAGCTGCTCCTGAACGGGGGCCGTGGTTGCTAGGCAGCTGCCTTAGAACAGTTATTCAAGTCAGGAAGTCAAGTCCTGCTTCTAGCTCTGCCCCTTGACACGTAAGTCACTTGTCTCAGGCTCCTCTGCCTACGGTGTAATACATACAATTAGAGAATTACTTAACATCTCTCCTATAATGAGCAGCAGTTGCATATGCTCAGATATATTTTAATGACTCAAATTAAAAGGGAATATAATTGTGTTCCCAGGTCATCCTGAGTGAGATCCGAGCACCTTTTCCCACCAGTCTTACAGGTCATTATTCTATTTCTTTGGCGTCCTCCAAAATGCCATTCGCAAATTCAGTAAGTATTTGCTGAGAAAATGAGCAAATGACTCAAGAAACATTTTGATTTCTTTGAATCATTTGTTGGCTCCTCATGCTACAATGTCTAGCACTCAGACAACCACACCCTTTAGCATGGATATCTGCTCAGGATCCATTCCTCCTTTTTCTGGTCGTAGCCCCTCATTTGGCTTTGGGAACTATCCTTCCCTGTTGGATACAATCATGGGGGTTCCTTTATACAACCCTAAGCTAGACCAGCAACATAACATGAGAATTTTAATCTTGAATGATCTTGAGAATAGTCAGAGTTCAGCTGAGACTGCGGTGTTCTGAAGAAACTCTTCTTTAGCTCCTGCTGCCTTGACCTGCCCTGGCTCCTGTCCTCTCCAAGCTTGTCTTTTCTGCTTTCGCTTTAGTTCTGTGACCTACCATGGCAGCCTTACAATAAATATTTTTTGCACTTAAATCAACTAGAGCTGGTTTCTGTTGCTTGCCATCGGAGCACTATTCTGCCTGCTGTACACATCTTCAGAAAAGGTCCGGGGACTTAAACTAGGACACCAAATAGAAAAAGAGAACTTTCAGAGCTAAAAGAAGCTTTCAAAATCTAGTCCAACCATTTTGTTTTGCAGATAATCTGAGCCAGAGAAGTTCAGTGACTTGACCAAAACCCTAACATTGGCTGGTGAGAGTCAAGCCCAGAACTCCGGAGAGCTGCCTTCCCGTCCACGGGCCTTTCCACTTTTTGCTGTTTCCTGTCCTCAGGTCTTGTCTTCTCTTTGAAGGTTATTGCCTAGGGCCATTTTCCTGCTACAATGGCAGAGTAGTTAGGACAGAGGACGCAGAGTCTGCAAAGCCTAAAATATTTACTATCTGTCCCCCTTTACAGAAAGTTTGCCAATATCTGCCCTACGCATATGTAAATGAATGAGTACGGGTGTGTTTCAATAAAACTTTTTTATAGACACTGAAATTTGAATTTCATATAATTTTCAAGTTTCTCCAAATATTCTCCTTTTGATTTTTTTTCAAACATTTAAAAGTGTAAAACCCATTCTTAGCTCATGGACTGCACGAAAACAGGTAGTGGATCCACAGGCAGCAGGCCAGCAATCCCTGGCTTGAGCCAGTTTGAGTTAGGGTTTCTGCTGCCTGCAACGACCTGCAACCTAACTGATACAATAAAGTCATCCACACATTTACTGATCATCTACCATGTGCTGGGCATAAAATGAGGAAAAACGTACAATCCTTCCCCCGGGGAGCTCAGAATCTAGTTAGGGACTCAAGACCGTCCACAATAATAGCCACCATTTATTGCTACCTATTACAATGTGTTAATCACCTTTCCCTTTAGATGAGTTATCTCATTTAATCTTCATTAACAATGCTACTAGATGGCTTATACTATCATTCCCATTTGACAGATGAGGAAAGTGAGGCTCAGAGAGATCAAGTACCTTGCCCAAGGTCACCAAGCGAGCAGGCAGGAAAGACCTGAACCCAGGTTGTGTGACTTTGAAGCCTGAGGACCTAGCCACTTGCCGGGGGAACCCACCATAGTGTGGCTCCAGCCCACACTGTGGTTCCCACTCTCCACCGTCTGTCCTTTCCTCTCCTGTCCTCACAGCCTGGGGGACTCACGATGCCCACACCTGTCCTGGGCAGCTTTCCAAAACTGCAATGTTGCTCAGCTCCCTGTCCCAGTTCTCTGAAGATCTCAACCATCAACCCTTAGTAACCAGTCCTTCTTCCAAACACCTCTAGCACCTGCTGTCAAGATGACGCATCTTCAGCTTATAGAGGGTTCTGATTGTCGTTTAGCTTTATCTGTGTTTCCTGTCTCTCCCCAAGTGACACTATCGGTGTCGGGGGTGGGAATTTCCCTCTGCCTCTTGGGAAACACTCAGGACAAGCTCAAAAACCTAGCAAAAGAGTGAGATAAAAGGAGAGATCCAGCAGCTAAGGAAACAATTAAGAACCAGAACATCATCATCTTCTATGAGAAAAAATAAAGGCAACATCCCCCTCCCAAGAAAAATGAAACAAACACATCCAGGAAATACTTAAGGTAATAAAAGTTAAAACAGAGGGACAAGACAAAGATTAAAGAAACTAGAAAGGAAGGAGTATAAATAGAGAATAAATTGGTGTCCATACCTGAAAGAGAAACCTCTTCCCCACCCCAAAAATAGAACCAAAAAAATATTTGAGGGCATAATACAGAAAAATTTCTCCAAAATCAAGGAATATTTGAATCTGCAGATGGAAGTTGCGGGGGGGGGGGGGGGGGCGTCTCCCTCTAAACAAGGAAAACCTGATATAGAACCATCACGACTTCAAGAATAAAGAATCCTTCAAGCATCCAAGCAGAAAATCTAGGGCCCTACAAGGGGGAAATGATAAAGCTGCCTTCCTCCTTCTAAATAGCAACATTCAATGCCAGAAGGTTCTGAGGGAAAGAAAAGGTGACCCAGGAATGTTACCCTCAGCAAGCAGTCATCCCCATACAGAGAGGTAACGCTCAGACATCCTCAAATGTGAAGGAATTCAGGCCATGTAGCCCCGATGAGTCCTTCTGCAGGGGGAGGGGGAGAAAACCCACATGACAATGATACAGCCAGTCAAGAAACGGCTCAAATCAGAGCACGAGCAACAGGAAAGTTTGGTAAAAGGACTAGCAGTAAACATTGAATCCAGAGGACTAAACCCTGGAGAAATAAATGGATGCAAATCAGAATGCAGGTGCCATAAACCCAAACAAATTACAGATAACGGAAGCATCAAAGATTGGGAACCGGAAGAAGCCGGAGAGCATTGAAACAGCCAATCACTAGGCAGAAAGTCAGTCAAAAGCACCCACCCAACCTTTCCTTTGACTTTCATCATCTATTATGTTTTTTCTTAACCTGGGAGTGATCTTTTGGAAACTAATATACCTTGTCATTCAGGAACTAATATGTAAAGGTCATCAATTTCACCTGAGTGCCTTTCTTCTGTTAAGTTCAGGTAAAACCAAACCCAATATTTTATTTTTGAAAGCATGCATAATATGATCCTGTTGCTATAAAATTATTTCTGTCCTCTCTCTCTGCATATACATAAGGTGAAGTCCAGAATATTACTTACTGTTATTCATTGGTTATTTGGGATGGTAATAGTAACAATAGCTAATTCTTATTATGGACTACACTGTGTGTCCAGTGCTATCTTAAAGACGTTACAGGTGCGTCTGTATTTAATCCTCCTAAGATTCCTAAGCAGTGATAGAGACTATTATCACCCCCAGTTTACAGGTAGGGAAACAGACCTGGGATGCTTCCTATGGGGACACAGGTGGCAAGTGGCAGTGCTTCAAACCCAAGGCTTCCACCTCCAGATCCCGAGCTCTGAAGCAGCACCCTAGCTGCTTCTCCACAAGTGGGTGGTAGGGCATTTGTTGCTTTCCTTGTACTTTGAATTTTTTTTTCACCTGAGCTAACATCTGTTGCCAATCTTCTTTTTTTCTTCTTCTTCTTCTCCCCAAAGGCCCTGGGTACATAGTTGTGTATTTTTAGTTGTGGGCCCTTCTAGTTGTGGCATGTGGGATGCCGCCTCAGCATGGCTTGGTGAGAGGTGCCACGTCCGTGCCCAGGATCCGAACGGGGGAATCCCTGGGCCACCGAAGCGGAGTCCATGAACTTAACCACTCGACCATGTTGGGGGGGGGGGGGGCGCCTCTACTTTGAATTTTTAATTGATGATTATGTATCATTAAAAAAGAAGTCACTACCAAACTATAGAGAGCTTCTACTTGGAAAAGAGGATGAATACTCCCAGGTATTACACAGGCAAACTGAGCAGATCCTAATCCCCTCACACATACATCCCCGTCTGTCTCCTGACTGCTAATCTAGGCAACTCCTTGTAGGGGAGGGGGCTGTTCAGAGGATTAACCCTTAACAAACTCGCACAGGCTTTGGAACAATAGGTGGTCTGAAACTTTAATGAAAATCATTGCAAAAGGGGTGACTAGAAATTCGGAACAGCATACCTGTGTTTTATTGGTTTTGGGCAGGTTAGCTGGAGGAAATAGGCATCTTTAAGGGATCACCTCTGTGAGAGAAGAAAACGTGTAACAAACAAAAGGTCGAAGGCAGCCCAGGTGTGCAGTCACGCATCCAGGTTACTGCACCTCTGAACAACCTGCTGGACTGACACAGCTTCGTTTTAAATGACACAACTTAACCAGTATGCTGCCTTCTGCCATCTGAGTGCCACCTGTCAGGCTGGTGAGGGGGAGCAGCTCCCAGGAGGGCAGAGGAACAGCTGTTTGTGTCACCTGGGAATGGGACCCACATACGAATCACATCTCTTTGACAATGATTCTAAAGTCCTCCTGTCACTGTCACTCACCTGCAAAATTAATGACTAAAGGGGAGAAGGAGAGGAAATGCCTACCCCCGAAAGAGAGAGAGAGACAGAGAGAGGGACAGAGCAAGTTAATAAATAAAACAAGAGCCTGAAGGGAAGAGCTGCTTTGTCAGAATATAAATATTTCCCTTCCCCTTTTATCTTTAATGTAGTGTGAGAAGCTTATTAAAGGGAAATGCATCTCTGTCCCTGGAGCCCTTGCACGAGCCTTGCGGGGAGCTGCCTGCAGAACGGGCTCGCCTAGCCCCACGCTTATAAACTCTTCTCTGCTGGAAGCGAGCGTAACGTGCAGAGCAATAAAGACGGCTGAGGGAAGAAAGGGAAGCCATTGTGGCCATTAGGATCCTTATCTTGATGGGCCTGGTGTCATGTTATGTTAATCGCTGGGAGATGCTGAGAGACTCAGGATGAGCAATGCCTGTCTGCTCAAACGCTTGGCTTGAGATTCCAAGGGAAGCTGGCGTTGCTAGACTTTTGCTCCTCTCCATTAGAGAGAACAATATCCAAATTTAGACAAAGGGGAGTTTGTCTCCAAGAGTAAGACAGACATAAAAGCTGAGGGGTCGGGGGTGGGGGTGGGTGTCCTGTGAGTATTCCTCCAAGAAGCCCTCTGGGGCCGCAGACCTCACATCTCCAAGAAGACAGTCAGCATGGGCAGTCCCAACATCCAGCATTCCTGTACCCAGAGCCATCACTATTCCAACAGCACAGAAGATTTTCACCCTCCACATCTCTTTCCAGAAGCCCTAAAAGAGGATGGGACAGTCAGAGCCTGCATACCCATTCAGGCTAGCACAAAGCCTTGCATGGCGTGGGCACCCAGGAAGCCTGGAAGGCACTATGCAGGAGCCACACTGGTCTTGTTTACCCCTGTATGTGCAGCGCCAAGCACAGGGCCTAGTGCACATGGCTTCAGACGGATGAAGGAACACAAGCATCTGGACACAATGAAAGGGTCTCCTGTTGGCCATCTTTGCTGCCTCTCCAGAGCATCTCAGTCCCAATAAGGATTGGGGCTCTGCTGAACTCTGGGGCTGTCACATCTTTGCTGACCATTTAGAGACACTCAGCCACGTGGTTACACGAGGATAAGCCACCCATTCATCAGGTCCTGAAGGCTGGGGTGGGAGTGGGGGCAGAGACAGCTAAAAATGGCTGCCAAAATGTGTTTCTCCTTCAGTCCTCTTGCCTGAGCTTTCCCCAGGGAGCTGGCTCCATTTGCTTTGCGGCCATACCCACCCTGCAACATACCCATGCATTTTCATTTCTATGATGTAATTGATGGAGAGGACAGCAAGGGTTTAAATTGGCATTTCTGGCTCTCTTGCCAGAGCATCTATTTGTCTCCTCTCACTTAGCAAGGGTTTGCTGCCATTTCAAACCCGCCGGGCACCACGTAATCACTCCAGCTGCGGCACCTACTTTTCATCCCCATCCAGGCCCCTCCCTGTTATGATGTCTTTTTCTGGTCTCATCCTCACTAATTTTGCACGTCTGGTTCCCTTTCCCACTGAACCCCATCTATGTGGGCATAAAGACTCAGCTACAAATCAGAGGGCTGGAGTCATTGCTATTCCACTGTGCTCACCACTTTCAGGACCAATTACATCTTATGGCAACGTCTGTGTTCCAGGGAAGTGTATAATTCAGGGATGGTGAGCCATCCTTAGCTGGTTCCTAGGGAATTCCTTGCCCACCATTCTAAACACTGCCTAGCAGCTGTTTACAATGCCTGATTTAACATTCCGCCTCCTGCATAAGCCCCGTCCAACCTCCTCTCAGCGTCGGCTGCTTTGGGGTCCTGGAATCTTGAGAGGACCTCTTTCCACTGTTCCCAAAAACAGTTTAGAGGAGGAGGTGTGGGGGAGGGTGGCACTCACATATCCGCGGGTGGTTACGTGGAAGAGGGACTACATTTGCGCTGTGAAGATCAATGGAAACCTCGCAGACACAGATTTCAGTTCAATATAATGAAGGACTTGCTAACAATTAAAGCTGTCCAAAATGGAATGGAAACCCTTTAAAGAGACCGCTCTCTCCCTGGAGTTCAGACAGAGGTGAGATCTCTCCAGCCAGAACTGCCCAATGCCCAGTGACACACACACCTCATATTATCAGCATGATCAAGTGGTGCCTCCCGTTCTCGAGCCAGACCGCCTGGGTTCAAACCCCAGCCGTTATAACTCACCAGCTCTGTGATCTCAGGCAAGTTATTTAGCCGCTCTAAAAAATGCAGATAAAAACTCATTAGACTTTCTGGGCAATTGTGAAGGTTTTTTTTTTTTAATGTTTATCAAAAGAATCTGTGGTTTTTAAACAGTAAGATAGTATTCTAAGCCTTTGGGTGCTCAAAGCTCTTACTAGATTATAGAAGTCATAAAAGAGAGGCCACTGCTTTTCACCAGCGACAACATAAAACAGCACTTTCTAATTAATTGTTATTTTACATACATACATAAACACAAATGTTACTGTTTAAGCTTTTGGAAATTGTGATGAGGAAAATTCTTTTAAACCAACAAATTGAGCTGCATAGGGCAAGGTAGAAAACAACAACTCATTTATTCCACAAATATTTATTAGGCGCCCACCAAGGGCAGGGCTACTTGGGAAACACAACTAGGCCCTCCTTGCGGATGCTGCCTGCCGGGGGGGCTTGCCGTGCAGCAAGTAACTGCTTAGGGCCCTTCCATTTGCAAAACTGGGAAGGGTTCCACAGGCTCTGTAAATCTAAAGTGCTCCGCAGGGCAGTTTGAGTTGGTTTGCATCCCAAATGAAACGGGCAGGACAATATAAAGCAGTAATGTAAAGCATGGTGAGAAATGTACCACTTACATTTTTTCCCTGTTTCCCATTAGAAGTTCAGCTCCGCAAAAGGTTGTGATCATGTTGATAAACTCTATATGCATATTGCCTAGGAATGAAAAATAACCTTTCCTCTTCATTTGTCCTTAGCACAGTTCTTGGTTCTGGAAGCCCTATGCCTAAAAAGGACATGGGTAGAAATAAACATGGGATGCCCAAAATATCTTTTTTGTATGGGTTGTAGGCATCCAGATTTGGAAAGGAAAGTTTTCTCTTCGGTTGCTCCTGTGGTCTGTAGCAACTTTCAAATGGCCATCTCTTCAGCTTTTCAACTTGCTGGAAACATTCAGATTGAAGCATGACTTTGCCCTGGCCCTGCCATTTCTACAGCACTTTCAATCTCACCTGGGCACCGAGGATGCTGGCGGCCTTCTGGGAAACCAGAAACTTGAGCCCCCATCTGCCTAGACCAAATTGTCTCTTTACACCATTAAAGAACAATAATAATGACCCTTTCTTGAACATTTACAGCAGGCCAGGTACTAAGTTCATTGCATTATCTCACTTGATCGTCACAATCCTACGAGGCGGGTGCTGATATTATCACCATTTAACAGATGAGGAAACTGAGGCCCAGAGAAGTTAAGCAGCTTGTCCAAAGCCACATAACTAACAAGCTGCTGTGGATTCAAATCCACAAAACGAGTGCTCTCAACCATTACTCTCAAACTGCATCTCCAAAGAAAGTGGAGGGGAGCCCCCACTATACCAAAAATAAGAGCTTTCAAAATAGTTAATGGAAAAACGACTTTATCGCTCCTCCTAGCAGAGTGAGAAATGTGAGGTGGCTACTAGGGAAGGCCCAGCATTCTGGCCACCCCTCAGTGCTCCAGCATCCCAGAAATGTCCTGCCCCTGTGATGTCCTCTCGGACAGCTGGCGACAGAGGCAGTAGATGGAAACGCGTCCTCCTAGAGGCTTCCACAGGGAACACACACTCTCCCGGTCGGCCTGCCCTTGGGGACTGGGGGCCAGACACACTGGGGGGATCAGGTGGCTCCCACACCCAGGAAGGGGCTTCACTTCCTCCCTCTTTGCTCCCCTTCCACACGTGTTTTCTGCAAAGCAAGTCCTGGCTTCAAAGTCCTGTTCTTTTCCTCCCTCCCTGTGTGATCAGGGACATCTCCAGACCTTCGTTTCCCCGCCTATAAAATGGGTCCAATAAACAGTGGCCATCTCAAAGGGCTGTTGTGATGAAGATTCCAGGAGATAGAGCAGGTTAGGGGCTCAGCACAAAGCCTGGCTGTGGGAAGCACTCAATGAATGTTACAGTTCATAAAAATAGTGAAGATCCGACTAATCCAGACATTGGAGTCCATCGGCTGGCTGGCTCTTACTGTTTGGCTGGAATTTAAATCAGGATATCATCAACCCCAGGGCTCAGACACAGCAAGACCAACATGGTCCTCAGAACTAAGGCCTTAACACAGTGGTCACCTCCGGGAACCGCGGACGAGCCCCCTCAGTGGCATGCTAGGGGAAGAGGAGGAGTGGAGTTTCACAGCAAAACTGAGGCCCCTTTTGCTAACGTGAGAAGTCTGTCACCTCTTTTGTTTATCTCTTCTTTAAATGTTTCCTCTCTCGCCTCTTGGGCTGTTTTCAAAACGCCTCCCCATCGGTAGCAGCTCCTCACAAGTCTGCTGGAGACCACAGCACAGATCAGCAGCTCATTGCCCAGCTCACACGGCCCAGAACAGCCCCAGACCCCTCCCCCGGCCTCTGGGGTCCCACTGACAGCAATTTCTGTACCCCCCTTCCAGTTCCTTCCTGACCAAGCACCGCTGCTGTGGCCCCTGAGCAGAGCAGCCACACTCGCCGGTGTCCCGTGACTCTCCCGGGCACAAGCCCACCCAAGGCCCCTGCCAGGCCGGTCCCTCGGATCTTTCCACTCTGGATCTCACACAAGCACTTCCGGTGTGAGGTTAGCAGGAAGCAAAGATAAACAGACCCACAAATAAAGTTGGGCCATTATGTGCAAAGCTCTTGGATCAAGCAGAAGCCTAAGAACCCAAAAATGTGGATTCTAGTTCCAGTTCTTTCTGTGAACCCTTGGACAACTCGCTCCACCATCTTGGGCTTCGGTTTTCTCATCTGTAAAACGAAGGGGAAGAATTACTGACCTCCGATGTCCTTTCTGAAAAATAAATCCCCAAACCATTCTCCAATCAGCCCCCTTTTTACATCACAGCAGGGCTGGTTCCTAGCTCAGGGCCAAACTCCTAGGGTAAATCTGAGACAAACCCACGGTCATCACAGCTTGGTCATCACAGCTTCGTTTGTTCATCAGGACCCTGAGTTCCAGGATGGCAGCAGGGACCCGTTATATTCCCAGCACTTCGCACAGTGCCTGGCGCATGGTAATCTCTAAGCACATTTTTTTAAATAAATGAGGGCTATGTGGCTTTATTTCCCCATTTTCAGCTGAAGATGTACCTTATTCATGCATGCATTCATTCAGTCACTTACTGCGCACCCTCTATGCGCCAGGCACTGCATCCTGCCGCAGTGTAACTACCCAGGATTGGAATAACCTTCTGTGACTACTTAAAGCCAAAGTACCTGGTGACTAAAGCAAGGGGAGATTGCTCAGCATATTAATAAGAGAGTTAGCTAAGAAATACAGGGCTTCCCTGTTCCCCTCCCAGAGACTTCTGATAGCCAGCATTCGAATAAGAGTTGCTTCAGGGCTGGCCCAGTGCTGTAGTGGTTGGGTTTGCACACTCTGCTTTGGCACCCCAGGGTTCGCAGGTTTGGATCCCAGGCGTGGACCTAGCACCACTCATCAAGCCACGCCGTGGTGGCATCCCACATAAAATAGAGGAAGATTGACACAGATGTTAGCTCAGGGACAATCTTCCTCAAGTAAAAAGAGGAAGATTGGCAACAGATTAGCTCAGGGCCAATCTTCCTCACACACACACACACACACACACAAAGTTGCTTTAACCAGCTTCACACTTTCAAAGCCAAAATTAACACCGTACAACAGGAGGCCCCAAATAAATTCAGATAAGACCTGAGCCAGGGAAGGACTCCAATTTACTAAGGAAAAGGAAATCTCAAAGCCCTGAAAGGCCTCATCACAACCCAGCTCCCTCCGCCATCTCTTAACTACCTCTTCAACACCCACCTCCCTTTGGGGACCCTGCCAGGTTGCTTGGGCTCAGCCACGCCTCGGCTCCTCCCTCAGGTGAAGCCATTCTCCAATTAAATCACAAAGAGGGGCAGACAGTCTGCAATGATCTGTGTTTATTTAGTAAATGGGTTGATTGCCCTCATTTGTGGAGATTAAGAGTTAATTTCCCAATGCAAAGAGAGCAGGTTTCTCAGAGGGCAGCCCCAGATAATTAAGAGAAAAACTCAAATTCAAATACCTCCCCCATCCCCCATTCCGCCCCTTCCCCTTCTGTTTTGGCCTTTCGGTGGCCTCTGCGGTCAGGTAGCCACCGGCCGGGCTCCCGCGAGGTTCTGACTGTGCGGAGGGAGGATTTGGTAAACAAAGGCTTAGGAATTCTTTAGGCGCTTTAAACTGACATCTGGCAAATTCTCTGGCAAATTCGAGATCGCATAACAGTTTCTCTCTCCCCCCTCTTCTGGCTTTGAAAGGCAAATGTTTTGAGGTTTGTGTTCTCTCCCATTCACAGAGTTTTTAATCAAGTGGAGTCAAGCCACTTTGTCTACACCTTAATTGAAGAGCCTGGCTCTAGAGTTTAAAGTACTATTTTACAATAATAGGGAGGAGGCAGGGAGAGGGGGAGAGAAAGGGGAGTAAGTGGAAATGAGAAAGAGAAGAAAAGCGATGGGCAAGTGGCCCTTAAGGCCACACTCAGGGCACCGCGTGCCGCCTTCTCTGCACATGTCGGGCACAGACGGTGAGCTGCCGAGCCTCAGCCACGCCGGTCATCAGGAACTGGGAGGAGACTGGCTCGCCCTGTGGATAACTTCCACGGAACACACGATAAAGCCCCTACTGTGGGAAGTCCTGGCCCAGGTGAGCACCCCCAAACAGAGCCCAAACTCTCAGGGCTGAGCCAGATCACAAGGCCCGGCTCCCCGCCTTCACGGAGGAAGCACCAGGCCCAGGGAGGTGAACCGCCCTGCCTGAGGCAAAGGGGTCAGCGGCTGGACTCAGACCCCAAGAATTCTTCTCATTTCCCTGGCTGTAACTGAAGCGTTTCCTCTGTTTGATCCTCAGGAGAGAGAAATGCACCACATCCACCTCAAACAAATTTTCATATACTTGGGAAGACAGTTAAATGACTTCATATATTTTTCTGAGTGAAACAACCAAATACTTTCACCTTGTCATCTCATCAGCTATTTTTTATCCTGGCTGCTTAGTAGATGCCCTGGGGGAGCTGTTAAGCAGATTCTCCAGGGGTGGGGCCCAGAAAGTAGGTTTTTTTTAGTAGATTTTTTAAAAATTAAACCTCTCTACCACCATCCCCACCCCCTCTTTGAGAATCACCTTTTTATTTGGTGATTACTATTTGGGTTACTCTTCCTACCAGTAGGTTCCTTCACGCCACTTCATTTAGTTCATGCCTCCCAAGTTTACATTCGACTTAAAAATCACGGCAGTCATTGTTGACCCCTTAGCCTCTGGTCTCTCGGGACTCCCAGGTCTTTTGATCCTGGCTAGTCTTTCTCCATCCTGCATTTCTGCAATTTATAGTTTCTATTTTCACTGAACTTCATCTGACCGATGAATTGCACAATTTGATTCAACAAATCAAACGTCTACCTTGTGAGAGGCAAAGGAGAAAAATAAGACACAGTTTCTACCCTCAGGGGCCTGCCAGATGAACGGGCGGGTACGGGCAGCACTAAAACACGGGAGCCAGTACCAGTGACAGCCCAGGAGCCAGGGAGCCTTTAAAGAAAGCCGAGAAGGAAGCTGACATTTGATGAGTGCCCACTCTGTGCTGGGCACCACAAGATAAAAGAGGATTAGGCTTGGCTGAGGGCACGAGAAAACGTAGAGTCATATTGGCTTAAACAAGACAGGTTGGTTTTGATCTCATATGTGAGACATCCAGAGGGAGTCCATCCCAGGCTGGTGGGGTGCCATGAGGGACCATAAGGGACCCAGGCTCCTTCTAACCCCCTGAATGTTCCACAACAGGCTCTGGAGTTCCAGCCATGAGGAGCGGGAAGGATGGTACATCCACTCCCTTTCTGTTGCACCTGACTGCTGACATTCCACTGGCCAGAGCTTAGTGGATGGATGCAAGGGAGGTTTTTACATGGAGTCTTTATTCCAAGTGGCCACATGTCCAGCTAAAGACTGGGGACTCTATTACTATGGAAGGAGGAAGGAACAGATATTGGTGGACAACTAGCAGCTTCCACGCCATGCTAAGGACTTAATATGCTCTACAGCATTTACATTGCACAACTCAGGAGAAAGAGGTCTTCTGGGCCTTTACTGCAACACTTTTACAATCACTCAGTCACTCAACGGAGTCAACTCAGTGTCAGCTGCAGTCTTAGGAAGTATCTCCTCAAATTCTTATCCAAACCATTGAGCGAGAGGAAGGTGGCCGCGAGACTGAGCCTTGTTAGTCAGCTCTGAGTGGATGCCTCTCCTGGGCTGGTGCTGGTCCTCGGAGGTCAGCCCTCCACAGCTATGGGCCTGTCCCCAGGAGGAAGTCAGAAGAGACCCGTGTTTTTCCCCTTTGTCCGGGCGCTGGCATTCTGCTTAGTGAGGTTGTCCCCAGTTGTCAGGAACACACAGGCGGTCAGGGGACTTCATTAACGGGCCAGGTAGGATTCCTGGGAAGGAGCTAGGAAACCCTCTTGTGTCCTGGTCTTCTTACATCACCTTTTGAATCAGGTTTTTCTTCTCTCCTTCCTTCCTTTCTCCTTTTCTTCTTTCCTCCCTGCATTCCTTCCTCCCTCCCTCCGTTCCTTCCTCCCTCCCTCTATCCTTCCTCCTATAGCTCCACTCTGAAGGATTCTGCTCTCCCATCTCTCTATCTACAGCTCCTGCTACCACCATGTAATTGCTCTCTCTACTCAGCTCACAGCCTCGTGGCTCTTGTTTCCTCCAAGCTTCTCCTGCTTCCTGGTTCCCGCTTGTTCCCATCTTACTGAATGTCCCTCCGCCTCTGCCAGTGTATTTTGCACTCGGACTCCCTGAATGACAGGATCTGATCACGTGGCCACTCAACATCCAGACAGCCTCCTGGCTTGCTCAGATGCTTGCCTCTTCCTGCTCAGTTGTCTGGGGTGAGGGGTCACGTGGTACAAGGCACAGGGATGGCAATGTCAGTCTGAGGAAAAGCTGTGAATGAACTGTGGGAGCGGCAGCTGTTACATTTTAGAGTAGCCACTGTGAACTTGTTGAGACCCATAAATAAGGTCCCAGACCCAACATCACAGCCTGCAACCAGACGTTTATCCCATCACCTCTCTCCCTCTCCCTTATTCTCTCTGTAATTACACACATGCGCGCGCACACACACACACACACACACACACTTCATCCTCTCTTATGGTTCTCATTATTCCATCCTTCAGTTCAAAATGTAATCAAGTAGAGTGAGGACTTCATGCGAAACCCTATGAGTAGCAGCCAAGCATTGCCCGACACAGCACCGGAAGGGGAGAGTATGGCACAAAAGAAGATCTGGCAGGGTTCCGCTCTGCTGCCCACAGGGTCACCAGGAGTCAGAACCCACTCTAGGGCACTGACGACAAAAGACATTCTATAAGGCATCAGTGACACACAAAATGCTTTGGATTCGGAGTCTGGGTCAGTAGTTCTCAAACATGACAAATTCAAAAGAATCACCCAGTGAGCTTTTAAAAATTAAGTCCCCAAGTCCAATGCCAGAGATTCTGACTCAACATGTCTGAGGTGGGGCCTGGGACTCGGAAAATTTTTTTTTTTCAATTCCTCAGGTGATTCTGATAACTAGCCAGATTTGGGATCCACTGCTCTAGCTCCCATCTTCACTCTTCTAGAACGGTCCTTTGGGTCTTTCATTACCCCTGTGTGTCTTGTTCCTGCAGCTTCTCCTCCTAGGTCTCTGCGGCCTGCCAGACACAATAGGTTAACTAATACAACACTCAACCCACAAGGAAAATGGTCAAAGCGATTCAGTGACTGATCTATCCTAAAAATCACCTCTGCAGGGTGGGGCCTAGCACACCTAACAGGGTTTCAGCATGGCCCTCCTCTCATTCAATGTAGACATTTCTAACTTTCCTAACACTTGAAAGTCTGCTTTAGGGATAAACATGTTCCCATCTGGGGAATGCTCCAACACCCCAAACTAAAATGAAGTCAACGGCAACCTGGCAACTGGAAATTCCAAGTGCTTAATGTTATAGTCACAAACGGTCTGGTAAAAGAGAGGTCAGAAAGAGAAGTATATGCTAAAACTGCCCTTTCTGGTCTTGCATGAGTAATTCCTGCAGCTGGAGTTTCACTACAACCACGGGATTGCGGCACCACGAAGGTGGCCATGTTCAAATCTGGCCTGACATCAGAATGTAACGCAACTAGATTAACCTGGGACTTGGCCAAAATAGGTAGCATTTCAATAACAGGAGCCAATGAATAGCATCACTTCTCTGTGGGGCCATATGACTACATGCAAAGAAATAAAAGCCTTTGTTGTTTTAGAGGGCAGAGACGATTGGAAGATTTGCAGCAGACAGTGACAAAATTTTTCACCCTTAGCTCTCCACAGAAGATACCAGTTAGTGGCTTTGGGAGTTGGGTGT